TCTTGCTGACAAAATCCATGATTGTGTGTGTGATAGACTTACCTCCACGTGGTGCACCCTGGGCAACGTATACTCATACGGCAAAAAAGTCTATTATTCGGCAGTTGACTTCCGACTTCAAAGCACCATCACCTCACTGTATGTCATATTCGACTACTTCCACAGTACTCACCTCACCTTTTTCACTCTACATTTGTGTCGGTCTCTTTTACATCTTTGAAATACTCTTCTGTTCCCCCCTCCCCCTCTTGACTTTTTTTCACTTTGATGTTCCTTCTTCTCCGTGAAGCCTGAAGTCAACTAAAGGGCTTATGATAACTACCAAAATGCCTGCCATTTGATATAAATAAATAATTTCTTGCTGACAAAATCCATGATTGTGTTTGGAAGTTAATAAGGAATGGGACAAATTACAGCTTTAAGACTTTACCCAATCCTTATCTAAGAGCAAAGCGTAATTTAATGACGCCAAGTCAGTACTGGCTACGAACTCTGTCAAGACTCAAAACATTATTGAATATAAATAAAACTGGTTACATTGAGAGGAATTTATTTCTTCAATATCTACTAAATTTAAACGGCAAACGAAAAGCTACTTCAAGATAAGAAAATTGACTAAGACGACAAGCATAACTAAATTAAGAAAATTATAAATACTTCAAAGAAGTCACAAACACACACTCAAACGCTAAAACAAAACAATGGTAAACGAATGCCGATAACGATAAGAATAAACACAAAACGTGTACAAATATGAATTCGAGGAAAAAATAAAAGGAAACTAACTCAGCAACCACAGAATTAGCACCGCGAGTACTTCTTTTCCTGCCCGGAGCTTTGGAGCAAGGAAAAAACTCAGGAGGAAGATCATCAATAGCCTTTCCTTTAGTAGCCCAAAGGCGTTGAGCACGCTCGTCCAACGTACCACCGCATTTGAGACCAAGGGCAAGGAGAGCCGACTTGAGACGATCCAGGCCGAGAGAAGCCAATTCTTCAGGTTGTCTGAAAGGTGTCAAGTCTAGATGAGCTCCAACATGCGAAAGGGCAGACGAAGAACTAGAAGACCCAGTTACTCCATTCCACCCAGGAAAGACACCCTCAGCCCACTCGCGTTCAAATCGAGTCAGCGCATTTTTGGACACTTCTGCCAAATCAAGCATCGGTTTAGCTCGAGCCAAGTATCCCTCCAGATAAGATATCAAACGCTCTAAGTAGTGACGGTAAGCACTTGAGGAAGTCTTGCGCTCACGAATAATTTCATACAACTTATCGTACGTATGTAGATAAGTCAGATAATCTATTTTCTATTAAAAAATACAATCAAATAAGCTCAAGAATTACATTGAATCCCTTGATGTTTATGTATATTTCGTACAATTCGTGCAGATCAAGAAAGCGTCCATAGCCCTCTTCATCTGTGAATTCAACAATGGTGGCTGAGGCTTCTTCTGGATTTTCGCGCATTTCTTTAAAGCGCTGAAATTCCACAGACATCGGGACACTGATCTCATCTGGATGAGAATTATGAAAATCTTTCAGTGTTTTCAAACGAGTATAGAATTCGTTGAATTCGTTTGGTCCAGAAAGACCTTGAATATCTAGTTTACGAAGGCTAAAAAGTGGGAGTTGAATAACGCTACTAATTACCCGTCTTTATCTTCATATAATTCTTTCAAATTTTTCGTTATTTCAATATATCTCTAAATATGCAATTAAAATTTTATAATAACACGTACATCAAACATTGTTCGAAGTCGAAATTCGGAATTAACGCTTTCTTTGTGCTAACAGAGTATAAATAATCAAAAGGTTAACAAACCGTCCTTGGTTGAAAATACATTTCTTTAGACATAGCATCAATTAAACGTTCACGTTCCTCATGAATACTCCTCTGTTGTTCTAACACGTTATTCATATCTGCTCGACCCTTTTGGACGACAATAAGGCTCCAGACCTACTATTTGTGTTTTGCACTATTTAGCTACCTCAAACGCATTAATTTGTACTTAACCAGAAAAGTAAAAAAGTGTAAAACCTAAATAATAAAGGTTAAATTATAATTTTAAACTTGGCCGATGAATACAAAATAACTATTGACATTTTATATTACCAATCAATATTGAAAAATGGAGTTCAACTTATGGTCGTTACCAAAACAAAGGATTTGATATTTTTTAATGTTCCAGATTAGCAGCTAGCATTAAGTATTTACCTTTGTAAAATAGTGTGCCATTGTTTGATTTTATTATAACTATGTGGACTAAAAGGTCCCATGATCATCTATTGAATTAATGTTTTAGCTTACCAAGAATTATTATAATTAAAAACGTTAAGTAATAAGTGTGAACAATTTTATTAAAATTCGCAAATTTTATTTGTTTAAGCTGCCTAAATGAGCGATAAAATATAACACTCTATTTTTGCAATATTACCAATAACCGCTGCATTTCGTTTATACTTGCAGATTTGTGTTCCTTGAAATTTTATTTATTGCTATTTTGAATGGCTGATACAGAAAAGAAAATCTGTCGCTATTTTAATACAATGGGGGGCTGCTGGTACGGAGATAATTGTAATTTCCTTCATATACCGGATAAAAGACCGCCATGTAAATTTTTCTGGTAAGAAATACTTAAGTTTTTACTCTCAGGGATAAATCTTCCAATGGCTGCATTTACGGGGAAAACTGCCACTTTTCGCACGCTTCGGCCTCGTTTAAAATTGGTGAAAGGTCTGATAACAAATTTTCTTACATTGGAAATGTGAGTCATGCATTCTTTCTCTTTTGTATCAACAATTTTTGCTATTACAGCCTGATTTAGTTGAATCAAATAAGTTGTGCACTACAGTTTAAAACATTTGCAATAATTATTATTTGCGATAGCATTGTTTTATATTTTTGCCAAGGACTATTTGTCGGTTTTATGCAGAATAATCTTGATTCTAATTTTTGTCTTTAAAACTATACTTATTGCAGTATTTCGCTTCTATCAGGTCATAGAAGACTCTCAAGAATCGAAGTGTAATTCGGATCGGAACAATAATAGTATGGCTATTTCCTCTCGACTCACTATTTCGGACCCACCACAGACGACAGACTGCGCTAAGGATACCATAGAATTGAAAATGGAAATCGGTGATACTCTTATTAATTCGCTTGATAACAACAAAGATGGGGCGGGTGAAAATAATGGTGCGCTTTATTTTATTGCGTATAACTTTCTGTATTTAGTCATCTGTACGTTTTTCATATTCTTGTATAGATGCAATCTCAACTGTGGCCGATGTTAAAGAATACTTTCCAGTTTCCGGTTTCCAGCAGGAACAATTAACGCTAGACTCTCAAGTAATGTGTGGTATGTATACGAATAAATCTGCAATCTCATACTTCCTTTATCAGGTACATGTAAACGCGTATTGGAGAGAAGAGGAAATGAGAGTTATTGCAACATCCTAAAGGATCACTATCTCGAGTGCTTCCTAGACAAAGATGGTGACCACGTAAAGTGCGTCAAAATGAAGGCGGCTCTTGAGGCGGGACAGATGTATTGGTGCAAGTCATGTATTCTTATCTTCGAAAAACCTTGGTCCCTTTTTCAGCACATGGCTGATAAGGCGAAAGGAGCGAAAGTTCAAAGGTGGGAAAAGAAAATTCACCTTGATTGGATAGACAGCGTGGCTGGACTAATGGCTGGTAAATTAATTCTTACATTGTCTATTTTAGCTACAAATTTGATACCAAAAGTGCTTTCTCGATAGGTCACGATTTGGGTCTATTTAGCTTAATGAAGTTGCGAATTGATTTGAAAAATCTCCTCGCAGACCAATATACGATGGAAGAGGAAATGGAGATGGCTGCAGCAGCAATGGTCCAGTGGCTAGTACCTATTACCACTAATCCTTGGCGTTTACATCAGCGGGAAGTAATGAGAAAAATTGAACACCTCCATCGCCAGTTAGTACGTCGAGCTGGTGGTAATTCCTCCTTAATTTCGCCATCTTTACATATACCTTTAAAATCAAAACAGCTTCTGAGTTCAGTTGGGAACCATTCCAATGCACCATCTCAATTTCCCCCCACTCGAGAGGAAGATTGTCGTATACTGCAACCCGAGGATGAATCAGCCACGTATAAAAAGAACCCCAGCGACACTGGGATAATTGAAATTGAATGTCCTAATGAGTCTGTTCTGGAAATCCCTCTGTCAAATGATACTGAGTGGCATGTTGCTGGTGCATCCGGTGATCACCCTCCCGAGCATTATGTGGATGTGCAGCTGGCACAGGGCAAAACTGATCCTTACAATAAACACTTCAGTTCTCTTGACTCCGTCTATGCCAAATCGAATGGCTATCGTCAGTGTGATATTTATTCAGGTAGAAGAAACGGTTATAACATCCCCACTCGAAGTTTTCGTAGTGCAATTGCATCATTAAATCGTGATCAGAGTTTTAACTCAGCATATCGACTGTATGAAAAGTCTAGGTCCAAATCATTTTCAGAGTCCCTTCGTCAAATTGCCTCTCCGAGAGTGGACTTGAATTGTGGTTTTACGGATGAAGAAGTAGAAGAACTACTGCAGCAAGGCATAAAACCTTGGGACAGTGAGGCCTCAGCAGCTCTTGCTGTGCTACGGGGCGAAATGGATCATCTTCTAGACTGAACTGTTTCTAACTTCATTCATAATTGTTGATTTGTCCTCATGTATTCATATATTTAGCAGTTATACTTTCTTGAATATGAAATTTCTTATACTTGAGCAACATGCTTCAAATAGCCTTGACTATCCGTTGGCGAAGAAATGTCACCTTCGTATTGAATCTCCTGTTCTTTCTAAGTGTGTGCGCCAAGAGAAGCACTTTCGAAACACATAAAATAAACACGAGTTTACTTTACTTATTTTTAAGTCGTTATTATGTTCATTTCAGAATATATAACAGATACTGCATGTGTTGCCTTATTCAAAAGGTGGAAAATGGATATTTAAATCTCTTCCCTTAATGAACGTTATAAATAAAATTTGTGTTAATTTGATGGCTATTGTTTTATTACTCATATTCTCACAAAAAATTGAAAAATTAGTTTTACTTTGTGAAGTAACTAAAGTTTACTGAAAAAGACCAATTAATAATAAAGATTAGAGGGATTAAAGACTTACAGGGAGTAACGTCAAGGTAGTAATGAGTCATAACCCAATAAATTTGTGGGCTCGGATTGTGACATATGTACTAAAAGGAGCATTTCATGCTCCAAAATTCAAATCTCCATATTCGTTCCTTGGAATGCAGTAAATTCTTGTCGACTGTGTTTAGTGTTTATGGTCAGATAGCATATAAACATGAGGGTCGGTCCTGATGTTACATCCCGTTTATTCTTCCGATCGTTAAAAAGACAAAATTTTTCCTTATGCAGTTGCGTTTTTAGCATGGATTGGTTTAAGTTAAAATTTGCCAATAATATCCCGATTCTCTTAGTTATTTATTTGTGCCATTTAGTTATTATACACCACTAGGCCACTTTATTTATAACAACTAAAGGACCCTAATAGATATAAATTTCCATATTTTTTCTGCAATACCGAAGAGTACATTATATGCTTTAGTAGCTAAATATGGAAGCAAACAGATATGCTGACTTGCCCCATGATAAAAACAATGAGTAAACGGAAGCATATAACATTGGCTAGTACAAAGAAAGATAAATAATTTCGAATGGGAAATAGGAAATAGTTATTTCCATTAGTCAGTTGCTATTTACTCACACGATTGCTTAAAATCGCATTTATCCTTTAGGGGCGCATGGCCTTTATGAATAAATGGTCTTGCAGCTGTGGAGTACACAGCACTATCATGGCTTAACGAAGAAATCTCATGGACAATCAGACAGGCTCGCAGGTGCGGTCGTGATACCTGTCCCGTATGGACCATGGGAGCTCGTGAGTCCAGTGGCCTCTCAGTCAACCACCAATCAATAGTCTTTTAATTTTTCAACGAACTCTTTAAACGTACTTTAAGGAATAAAATCTGTGTCAATGACATAACCACAATAAACACTATTTTCACCATATGATTTGTTTCCTCAATATTTTTGAGGTAACTTAGCTAGTTTCGGGAGCCATTTAATAAAAGGGGACTTTGTCGTAGAGATTGATGAGGCTTAGTCACGACTTACTCGAGTAGCTGTCCACAACACCTCCAACCCATTAGCGAATGGCGAGTGGAATGCTGCTAACTTCTTATTTTAAATTGAGATATAGTTAGGTACTAACATTCTTACTAAATCTATACATCAAATGAGTGTTTATAACATTTTAATTCCCAAAAATAAATGTAAAAAATTGCTTCAATTCTATGAATTTTGGGTAATAAGTACAATTGTTGCATCCCATTAATGGAAACTGTTATCGTATTGGCTGTTGCACACAAAAGTCTTGACTAAAGCAAAACCATTCTAGTAGACCGGAGAAGGGAGTATTACCCTGTTCCCATAACCAGCTAAGCTATCTCAACAACGTAGATTTAATAGAACAACGTTTATTGCAAATAGTGGTCAATGAAACATTTTGCGCGACTTTGAATGAATATTAATGGGGGGGGGGGCTAGCTGAGAACTCCTGCGTACTCACGACGCGCCAACCAGAATGCTCAATTGTGCATGGAATTCCTTGATTTATCCCTGTTAATGTTGTGCTCTGCACACTGTTGAAATTTACTTGCCCAAGGCTTCCGTATGATCCAAAATAACATGCTTTCATCTATCTGGCAAGACCGTAAAATGAGGAAGAATCAGTCATGTTAGTTTGTAGTTTAGGCTTGTGCAAATTTTTTAAAACTCTATCACCCTTTTCTTTTAGCGTTTCATGTCTGATAAGATGAGTAAAAATGTTTTAAAACTATTTGATAATTCCATATGGCATTTTGTCCATTGCATTTATCGATTAATTATCCATTCATCTAACTACCTATCATCTGATATATTGATTGCACGACTGCTACAATCAATATATCTATCTGAAAGTCGTTCCTATCTCGGTATCACAATCCATATAAACTCAGTTAATAGAATGAAAATCGTAACTCAAACGACATATCTAGATCTTATTGACCTGGGAGATATTGGTATTATTACGTTAACCGGGAGATAAGTTACTTTCAAAATTCAAATAATGCCCATGAAAGGAAATTTTATTTGATACACTACTTTCGTACTTAAAATTATTCACATTTATCTATTTCCTTAATCACTAAATTTCTGAATTAAAATACTGTTCTACCTCCACATTTTTTATTTCCTGATCTAATTTTTTTACCAAATTTGCATGACCTAGCTCTCATATTTTGGAAGAAAATCTAAGCAGACATATTTTTGGAAGCTAAGAATACACATTTAAGTTGTTTGAATGGTTTAACATTTTGCGACAAGACAATTTAAGTACTTCCGGCTGTCAATGAAGCAGTAAACCTTAATCAAAGCAAAAATGAACTAAATGAGTACCAGTGAACCGTTAATTCACTCAATTTAGTTGTCCATGGAACTCTAAATTAGCGTTTTGTCTTTCTTACTAGCATTAAATACCTATTCACTTATAAAGAAATCATGTCACGGACACGAATATATAGCATTAAAATTCTTGTACATTTTCTTTGGGAAGCCTTTCACACGTTCTCTTATGACTATCTTTAGACTTGGTCTCTTCTTCCCTTTTAATGTAAGTGTTTGATAGTGATGGCTAGATAATATTTCACATTTTCCTATAATACCTGAACCTGACCGCAAAATCCATTTTTTTCGTTATTGGTTTGCATCAATTGGTATCTTATCATATATGGCCAGATATGCTCAAACAAAGCCGGAATACCTAATTCGAATCCCTCTGTTATAAAAGATAACTCAACCCAGATGGATTTTTCTTGGTCTGCTTTTGGTTCTATTCTGAAATTTTTTGAAACAAGAACTTCTTTTGAGTAAAAGTAATCGAAATTTCGCTTTCGTTCCCACATTCCTGCTTAGAACATTTTCGTGTTTTCAAGGGCTGGAGTTGTGAAGCGGTGACTGAAGAACATTGATTACCTCTGTTTATTAAGTGTTATATTTTAATATTTGAAGATAACGATATCCCTAATTTGGGCATTTACTTTGCTCTGCAAATTAATCTTCTAGATTGACATCCAACTGTTGTCAATATGACTGTCTTACACGGGCTCAGCTGTAAAGTTATGGTAAATATTTAATTACTTATTACATATAATGCTGAACAATTTAATCTAGAGCTATTTACTTATGGACCTAATAACTTCATAAGACTTGGAGCATATTTTGAACTTATCCAAAAGCAGTGGAGAGAGTTGAGTTTAAATGAAAGCTCAGGGAAATTATTAAACAAATAAGGGGAGGGGAAAGAGTGGTAGGATTGCTGCATGCGAAAGCCTAAACATCGAAGGTGCATGTTTAGTTTCATCAGTTAGGTTGAATAAATTTTTTGTTAGTCATTATTTCCTACTTGGTCCTCTAAAAAAAGTCGTTCAGTAATCAATGACCCATTTCAAACTACTGCCCACGATGGAGACCATCCATCGTGTGGGTAAAACTGCTCTGCGGTACAAATTTAGATGCTTGCACTCCTAATGAGTCTGTTTTTTTGATGAATTGCTGTGCAATCGCCATCCGCTTTAGGCACTGCAAGTGCATTATTGGCATGAACTTCATTATTTATCAAAGAAATAAATGAATAGCACTATGAAAGGGTCCACCTTCAAATATTTTTAATATGAGAAAGAGTATGTTTAGAAAATAAATTTTGGCTCTTGGTTCCTCCACTTTTCTTGCCTAAATACACTCTCTAAATAGTAATTATTTCTTTATATATGAATATTTCTGCGGAATTCTGTCAATGAAAAAATAAATCACATTTAAAAAGATTTTAACTTCTGAAAATCATTCAAAGTCGTACGTTTTAGGCAATTTCTCAGAATCACGAGTTTTTCTGTATTAAGTTAATTGCTGGAATTTCCGTGTGAAGCTAAACATAGAAAAAGCCAACTAAGGATTTAGTAAACGCCCGCTAATTGGATCTTTAATTTGGCTCATGTTCAGAATAATCGATAAATTAGTCTTTGACAGCTCCATTTCATTTCTTCATGCGACATTTACGTTGAAGGGAAGAAAGTACTGCTTCAATCCCTTACGGTCTAATGAAACGAGCATTTGCATTTCAGTGAAAAAATACCTCAAGATTAGGGGAATATTTCTCCTCGGTTTATGCTCCATTCATTCATCTCTATGAAAATTCCCTTTTCTGAGACCCGTGGCTATTCCGGGCAATAAGAAATTTTAGTTTTAGTGATCATTGAAATTCAAGGCATTTTCGATTTTTTCCCTTGAACTTTAAAGTGACATCGATTCATATATTTTGAATTATATATCTATTTAAAGTGTTCCTAATGATTAGTTAAAGTTGGTAAAGCGCACATAATAATCACCTACGTCCAGTCTTCTCAGTTGATTTAAATTTGATGAAGTACATTTTTCTAAGCCTTAAGTTGCTCATTGTGGGAATCTATGTGTTGAGGCTGTTCGAATGTTTGACAATAAATCATATATATATATATATATATATATGTATATTCGTACATTTT